GCTTTAAGTGAAACAAAGCTGAAGGGGGTGGGAGTTTCAGTGGAGAGGAATAAATTGGATTAAGTCAGGGGTTTCAAATAGAGTTTGAGCTAAAGAAGGAGTAGCAATAATGTTGAAGGATAAGCTATGGCAGGAAAAGAGGGACTATAAATGTATTAATTCAAGGATTATGTGGAGTAAAATAAAGATTGGATGTGAAAAGTGGGTTATAATAAGCGTGTATGCACCTGGAGAAGAGAGAAGTGTAGAGGAGAGAGAGAGATTTTGGGAAATGTTGAGTGAATGCGTGGGGAGTTTTGAATCAAGTGTGAGAGTAATGGTGGTTGGGGATTTCAATGCTAAAGTGGGTAAAAATGTTATGGAGGGAGTAGTAGGTAAATTTGGGGTGCCAGGGGTAAATGTAAATGGGGAGCCTTTAATTGAGCTATGTGTAGAAAGAGATTTGGTAATAAGTAATACATATTTTATGAAAAAGAGGATAAATAAATATACAAGGTATGATGTAGCACGTAATGAAAGTAGTTTATTAGATTATGTATTGGTGGATAAAAGGTTGATGGGTAGGCTCCAGGATGTACATGTTTATAGAGGGGCAACTGATATATCGGATCATTATTTAGTTGTAGCTACAGTTAGAGTAAGAGGTAGATGGGAAAAGAGGAAGGTGGCAACAACAAGTAAGAGGGAGGTGAAAGTGTATAAACTAAGGGAGGAGGAAGTTCGGGTGAGATATAAGCGACTATTGGCAGAAAGGTGGGCTAGTGCAAAGATGAGTAGTGGGGGGTTGAAGAGGGTTGGAATAGTTTTAAAAATGCAGTATTAGAATGTGGGGCAGAAGTTTGTGGTTATAGGAGGGTGGGGGCAGGAAGAAAGAGGAGTGATTGGTGGAATGATGAAGTAAAGGGTGTGATAAAAGAGAAAAAGGTAGATTATGAGAGGTTTTTACAAAGCAGAAATGTTATAAGAAGAGCAGAGTATATGGAGAGTAAAAGAAAGGTGAAGAGAGTGGTGAGAGAGTGCAAAAGGAGAGCAGATGACAGAGTGGGAGAGGCACTGTCAAGAAATTTTAATGAAAATAAGAAAAAATTTTGGAGTGAGTTAAACAAGTTAAGAAAGCCTAGGGAAAGTATGGATTTGTCACTTAAAAACAGAGTAGGGGAGTTAGTAGATGGGGAGATGGAGGTATTAGGTAGATGGCAAGAATATTTTGAGGAACTTTTAAATGTTAAGGAAGAAACAGAGGCAGTAATTTCATGCACTGGTCAGGGAGGTATACCATCTTTTAGGAGTGAAGAAGAGCAGAATGTAAGTGTGGGGGAGGTACGTGAGGCATTACGTAAAATGAAAGGGGGTAAAGCAGCTGGAACTGATGGGATCATGACAGAAATGTTAAAAGCAGGGGGGGATATAGTGTTGGAGTGGTTGGTACTTTTGTTTAATAAATGTATGAAAGTGGGGAAGGTACCTAGGGATTGGCAGAGAGCATGTATAGTCCCTTTATATAAAGGGAAAGGGGACAAAAGAGACTAAAAATTATAGAGGAATAAGTTTACTGAGTATACCAGGAAAAGTGTACAGTAGGGTTATAATTGAAAGAATTAGAGGTAAGACAGAATGTAGGATTGTGGATGAGCAAGGAGGTTTCAGAGTGGGTAGGGGATGTGTAGATCAAGTGTTTACATTGAAGCATATATGTGAACAGTATTTAGATGAAGGTAGCGAAGTTTTTATTGCATTTATGGATTTAGAAAAGGCATATGATAGAGTGGATAGAGGAGCAATGTGGCAGATGTTGCAAGTATATGGAATAGGTGGTAAGTTATTAAATGCTGTAAAGAGTTTTTATGAGGATAGTGAGGCTCAGGTTAGGGTGTGTAGAAGAGAGGGAGACTACTTCCCAGTAAAAGTAGGTCTTAGACAGGGATGTGTAATGTCACCATGGTTGTTTAATATATTTATAGATGGGGTTGTAAAGGAAGTAAGTGCTAGGGTGTTCGGGAGAGGGGTGGGATTAAATTTTGGGGAATCAAATTCAAAATGGGAATTGACACAGTTACTTTTTGCTGATGACACTGTGCTTATGGGAGATTCTAAAGAAAAATTGCAAAGGTTAGTGGATGAGTTTGGGAATGTGTGTAAAGGTAGAAAGTTGAAAGTGAACATAGAAAAGAGTAAGGTGATGAGGGTGTCAAATGATTTAGATAAAGAAAAATTGGATGTCAAATTGGGGAGGAGGAGTATGGAAGAAGTGAATGTTTTCAGATACTTGGGAGTTGACGTGTCGGCGGATGGATTTATGAAGGATGAGGTTAATCATAGAATTGATGAGGGAAAAAAGGTGAGTGGTGCGTTGAGGTATATGTGGAGTCAAAAAACGTTATCTATGGAGGCAAAGAAGGGAATGTATGAAAGTATAGTAGTACCAACACTCTTATATGGGTGTGAAGCTTGGGTGGTAAATGCAGCAGCGAGGAGACGGTTGGAGGCAGTGGAGATGTCCTGTTTAAGGGCAATGTGTGGTGTAAATATTATGCAGAAAATTCGGAGTGTGGAAATTAGGAAAAGGTGTGGAGTTAATAAAAGTATTAGTCAGAGGGCAGAAGAAGGGTTGTTTGAGGTGGTTTGGTCATTTAGAGAGAATGGATCAAAGTAGAATGACATGGAAAGCATATAAATCTATAGGGGAAGGAAGGCGGGGTAGGGGTCGTCCTCGAAAGGGTTGGAGAGAGAGGGTAAAGGAGGTTTTGTGGGCAAGGGGCTTGGACTTCCAGCAAGCGTGCATGAGCGTGTTAGATAGGAGTGAATGGAGACGAATGGTACTTGGGACCTGACGATCTGTTGGAGTGTGAGCAGGGTAATATTTAGTGAAGGGATTCAGGGAAACCGGTTATTTTCATATAGTCGGACTTGAGTCCTGGAAATAGGAAGTACAATGCCTGCACTTTAAAGGAGGGGTTTGGGATATTGGCAGTTTGGAGGGATATGTTGTGTATCTTTATATGTGTATGCTTCTAAACTGTTGTATTCTGAGCACCTCTGCAAAAACAGTGATAATGTGTGAGTGTGGTGAAAGTGTTGAATGATGATGAAAGTATTTTCTTTTTGGGGATTTTCTTTCTTTTTTTTGGGTCACCCTGCCTCGGTGGTAGACGGCCGACTTGTTGAAAAAAAAAAAAAAAAAAAAAAAAAACAGATATGTATCAGTAATGTAAATTTTGAGAAAAGATTTAGTGGCAAAAATTAAGTGACTGATTTTTTTAAAGTGTAGGCACTCGATATTATGAACTAACTGGAGGTTTTGAGTGTTGTGTTTAGTGAGTGCATTATATACATATTTGGCACACACAAGACCAACCACAAATCCTACAATAATCTTTGCCAGCTGTAGGCAAAGGGAACTAGAGCAGTCTAGAGGTGGTATGCAGACTTAGATCTAGTGTTTGGTAGGTGTGCTGTGGCATTTTGACTTGTCAGGAAAGACTTGGGGACGGTTCAATTAACTCATCTGTGGTAAATGTTCCATCCAACCAGGCCCTCTCTCTCGAGTTGTCATCTGGCGTATATCCCATTATGACATCTGGTTCTCTGTGACATTTGTGCTCACTGTTTATCATTTTTCTGGATTGTGTTGGAACCCTTGTACATTTGTAAATATTATAAATAATGATTTGCTAAAGGAAGAATATATACAATAAACAGCCAAGACCTTTTAATGTCCCTAGGTACAGTACAGCATTTCTAACAGCGTGATTTGCAGACTGAATCCTATTTCCATGTTTTTCTGTAAATGTCCAGCTTTCGTGCTTGCGCAGATAGAACATTTCCCCTCCACACCTTGGAACTCCATTGTATTACACTAGACCTAACATTGTTCTGTGGTGTGTCCACCCATATTACATATAACTCTTCTGTGTTTATCATTTCATTTCCTATCTTTACATCCCCCTGTCTTGTGTCTAGATATTAATCATGTCATCAACAAAGGAAATCTAGTAGTGTTGGTGAAGATACCAAGAAGTTTATGCATGAAAATATGCCTCTAGTGAAGAAAATGGATGTGACTGAAATGCTCAAATGTGGTGCATGTGTGATGGCAGCAGGGTGTGCTATTGGTGTAAGAAAATTAACAATTCAAAACAATGAGATAAAGACAAGAGTTTGTTTTATGAGGAACCATGAGCATTACCTGATAAAAAAAAATGGGTAAGAGGTCATTATGGCTAAATAACACTGAAAAAAAAATACTGACTGAGTGGATTCAGCAAAAAACAAAGAAAAATGCCCTGCTTAATTTCCTCATCTAAAGGGAGGAAGCCCTATTGTATTACAGCCTCTCCTCACTTAACAACGGAGTTCCATTCCTAAGACCATGTCGTTAAAAGAATTCATCACTAAGTGAGGAGCATACTATAATGGTAGTGAGTTCGTGTCAACCATCTTTGATATTGTTTTAATGTCACCTTTGCACCATTTATAACATTTCTGGTATATTTTTAAATGTGTATACAGTAGTGTACTGTATATTGAAATAAACAGGATAGAGGAAATCAGCTCTAATATACATTATTTAGGTATGCATACTGGTCAGAGAGCCTGTTGCAAGTCTGAGGCGTCGGGAAACGAGTATGTCGCTAAGTGAGGAGAGGCTGTATTCTTCTTTCCTAATGTACCCCATTCATTTACTGGGGTTGCAATAACTTTGGAGAAGCTAACATGGGTCATCACATATAAAAGTTAAAAAACACTGGTCTTGAACACATGAGATTATAGCTGTTATGAGGACTGTAGTAGTAAAAAACAAAATGCTGCTAGGGGGTTTGAGACTGGGTATGGAGTTGTTGCTGAATTTTAATTTCTCTCCCAATAATTATTATTGCTGGTATCCATAAGTGTATACTATAATATGCACTGCAATTTTTCATTCTACTGTAACCTTGAATGAAATCATAAAATTTGTACTTCTCTAGCAATGAATGAAGGCTTATGATATCCAAACTCACCTCTTTCCATCCAAAGTGCTGAACTACTCTTTCAATAGTAAGCAACAAATTACTAAAGTGAAATGGAGTCCCTCGGGGCCTTGGAGATGAGAGCCCATGACTTGGAAAATCAATGGCTATCAAGGAAACACTCTTGGGAAGCAAAGGAGCAACCCCATCCCAGGTCCCGGCATTGTCCATCCATCCATGAAGGCCAAGAATAGGTGATCCTCCCTCATTCCACACTTTACCTGAAAGAAAAATAAAAGATACAGTACTGTGGCTAGAATATTTAAAAAATAAATCACACATTGGTAAAGAAATTTTAGACTGTTTTAGTTCATCCTAGATCATTATAAAGTCACAATCAGCCTCTGTTTTTCTTTGCATTTTGTCAAATAGTTCTGATTTGATAATGGTTCATACAACCATCACCTTTCACCCATACAACTCCACTACAGCTTCATGCTGACATGGATTTACTTCCACACCTTTCCCATGCTTTCATTCACACTACTCTCCCACAATTTCAAGCCCACACAGCTCTGCTCCTACACCTTACCCATGCTTTAACAGCCCACCCCTTCCCCTGCACCCAGACCTTACTCATGCTTTAACAGTTCACACACCTAGTCACATAGTCACTCACCAGCCTCATTGCTGCCCACACCAACAACTGTACACTCACCCACTACCTACACCAGGCCACCAACACTGCCACCCACAGTCACCATCACACCATCTCGTTGCTTCCAGACTCCAAACCAACACCTCTCCACTGCCCAGCATGCTCCACCTCCCAATACCAGCCTCCAGGTCCTGCTCCTACCCCTCCACCATTCGGTCTTTATCTCTCACAATAGTAGTTCCCCAGTCTCCACTCCCATACCGAACTCACTCACCCCAACTGCTCTAACTCCTTTCGTGTACACCCCAGCAATTTTAACCCCTCCTTTATAACTCCCATGAAGCTGCAATAAATAGGACAGGTAAACATTAAACTACCTCTGTCTGCTTGCAGAGATGTGATTGCAGGATCTTTGATGCACATCACCACATCAACCTTCAGTTACATTATCATCGGTGTTTTTTACAATCTTCAGACAAAAAATCTGGTTGGCTTTTTTGGGGGTACAGTGGACCCTCAACCAGCGATATTAATCCGTTCCTGAGAGCTCATCGTTAATCGAAATAATCGTTAGTCAAGTTAATTTTTCCCATAAGAAATAATGGAAATCAAATTAATCCGTGCAAGACACCCCAAAGTATTGAAAAAAAAAATTTTTACCACATGAAATATTAATTTTAATACACACAAACTGAAGAAGACATGCACAGTTACATGACACTTACCTTTATTGAAGATCTGGTGATGATTGATGGGATGGGAGGAGGGGAGAGTGTTGACCTTCTTAGTGTTTAGAAGGGGAATCCCCTTCCATTAGGACTTGAGGTGGCAAGTCCTTTTTCGGGGTTACTTCCCTTCTTCTTTTAATGCCACTAGGACCAGCTTGAGAGTCACTGGACCTCTGTCGCACAACATATCTGTCCATAGAGGCCTGTACCTCCCGTTCCTTTATGACATTCCTAAAGTGTTTCACAACATTGTCAGTGTCACAATTAAACACTTGTTCAGGTTTCAATTCTTCACTGTCTATGTACTCCTTGAATTCCTGCACATATTTTTCAGCTGCTTTTTGGTCCAAACTGGCAGCCTCACCATGCCTTATCACACTATGTATGCCACTACGATTCTTAAATCTCTCAAACCAACCTTTGCTGGCCTTAAACTCACATCACCACTAGTTGCTGGCATTTTTCTAATTAAATCCTCATGCAACTTCCTAGCCTTTTCACATAAGATCTCTTGAGAGATGCTATTTCCTGCTATCTGTTTTTCGTTTATCCACACCAATAACAGTCTCTCAACATCTTCTATCACTTGCAATCTCAGTTTTGAAAACATAGTTGCACCTTTGGCAAGAACAGCTTCCTTGATTGCCATTTTCTTGGCCACAATAGTAGCGATGGTTGACTGGGGTTTTGTGTACAACCTGGCCAGCTCAGACACACGCACTCCACTTTCATACTTAGCAATGATCTCTTTCTTCATATCCATAGTAATTCTCACCCTTTTTGCTGTAGGGTTGGCACTAGAAGCTTTCTTGGGGCCCATGGTGACTTATTTTGCAGGTGCAATCACTAAAAAGACTGTGATAATATGAAATGTTCAGATTGTATGCTTGGAAGCGACCGCGGTGGCTGGCTGGCTTGTAAACACTGGCCAGAAGTGGACGCATCTCAGACGGAACGAATAGTGTTGGTCGAGTTTTTTAGCGCTAGTCGAGGCAAAATTTTTGCGTTAAAATGTATTGCTGGTCGGATTTATCGTTAATCGATGCCATCGCTGGTCGAGGGTCCACTGTATATTGAACATAATCCAATTTTTCCCATATGTTTTTAATTTGATTTACAAGATTTTTTATTACACACTATTTTTAGAAGATTACTACCATGTTATCCAATGGTCTACTGTATATGAAAGCTAGTTTGCTGGGTATCAGATGGAATGATAACAACTGCCAGAAATATTTGGGAAGAATACAGTATAATGCAAGATAGGTAAGATACATAATGTCATGCATCATACTGTATATGGGAGGAATACAGAAGAGTCATCCCTACAGATCTGCCGGGAGGTTATTTTCCTCGAGTTTCTCCAAAACTAAAAATGGTAAATAATATAAAATTATATCTGCATTACAAGATTGTTAATTATTTTGTGTTTCAGAGATTATGTCTCTGCAACCCTTGACTATTGAGCCATTGAGCACAATTTAAAGGAAATTTTATGATTAGTTTTTAATTGAGAGATCATGCACAGAGCCTGAAAAATGGGAACCACCAGAAAATCAGTGAATAACTGAAACCATTTGTTGATTACTTATCAGTAAAAACAGTGGATAACAAACTATTTGTTAACTACTTACCTGGAGTATACCTGGATAACCAAAACCTGCAAATAATGAAGTCTACAAATTTGTAGGGATGACTGTACATGTACATTGCAAAAACTGTATGGATATATATAAGAATTGTATGACATAAAATGATATGTAGAATCCTATGTCTGGGAAGAATATGGTATAGTGTGTGTGTGTGTATATATATATATGATATGTACCACCCTGTGAAATTGCAATTTACACCTTGAAAACGTACCAGCTATGTGGCCAGATATAATAGGAATCGTTATTTCCTTTGCCATTGCTACTGAAGACAACGTACTTCTGGAGTGTAGTGCTCTTAATAATATATGTCCACTTCTCTCCAGAATAACACTAATTCTGCAAAATCAATAAAATATGGATACTTAATATTGTTAAAGCCTTATTAAAAAATGAAGTTGAACATACAGTATGTCATTCAACATATTCAGTAAACTCTTGATATAACAGATTATCTAATTCTCCATTAAACCGGAATATATTAAAAATGCAACAACAACAAAAACAAAAAAAAAAACTGAAGTATGTACTCTACTGTATACCTAATGTAGCACTGGATGCACATTTTATATATACATAGCAAGTACAATTTAACCAGTGGATTCTCTCTATAATTTTAAATTTGTTATATTGAGGTTTACTGTACTGTAATCAAAATATGAATTACAGCAAAAATTAATAAAAAAAAATGGCAGTAATCTTATGCTGTATGTAAAAACATTACTGCAGCTCCTCCTTGTATCAACAAGCAAACCAGAACTACTTGTTGAAAAAATACGTAAAATACCTCCATTTTAGGCAATTTCAGAAAGTCTAATGTGATGGAACTGAAAATTAAAAAAAAAAATGAACTGTGCTTATGAGAAAAGTCATCCAGGCAGAGTCCATGGAACAAAGCAATCATGTATTAGTGTTATGTGTTACTTAGAATAATGTATGTGTCTGGATAAGGCAAATAAAATGAGGACTAGCTGATGTACCAAAATTTCTTTAATTGCAGGGATATCCTAGGTTAAGTCATTATAAACTGCATCTTTTGTACTGTATATATGTAGTATATATACATATGTCGTGCTGAATAGGTAAAACTTGCAATTTTGGCTCACATAGCAATGCTCTTCTTGCCGAATAAGGCAAGCTAAAATTTGTGTATGCAATAATTTAGCAAAAATCATCCTGAACTTAATGAAAAAATATATTTCATTATGTTTGTTTATTATGAAGCTACTGTAAACATATATAAAATATATTTAGTTGGATTAGGCAAAGTTAAATTGCACTTGTTATAATAAGATTAGTTAAGTTTTCTAAGGTTCTTTTGGTACAAAATTATTAATTTTTTTTACATTAACATAAATGATAAAAGTATCTTTAAACATATATAAAAGAAAATTTTAAAAAGAACTTGATTTTAAATGAGTTCTTGCTAACTAACCAGTTTTACCTATTTGGCAAAATCTGTAAACAGTAGTTTTGTAAGTAATTTTTTTATTTAGAATTGCATACATTACAAAAATTTATAATGGCCTTGAGGGAACACAGATGTTATGGGCACATACAAAGTACATTACAGTACTTACATAGTTTTAACCTAAGATAACCTACAATATAACACTAATATATCATAGCTTAACAAACAAACAGGGAAGAACTAGTTATACAGATGTGGCACAATTCATTAATGATATTAAAAAAAGGGTATCTTAATCCATTCCCTATACACTAACAATGCAGTATTTGTTTGAGTAATCTTAAATTATTATGGCTCTGCCATTTACTTTACTAGGTTGATAAATTAGACACATATGCAACACTTGGGTATCTTTATTGAGGGAACGTTTCACCACACAGTGGCTTCATCAGTCCATACAAAGGAGAATGGTGAAGAACAGGAGTTTGAGGTAATCAGTCCCTCAGTCTTGAGTCGATGTAGTCAGTCCATCAATCTTGAAAAGAATACAGCATATGTGCGAAGAAGTAGCCTTGGCTATATGAGCTACTTCTTCACACATATGCTGTATTCTTTTCAAGATTGATGGACTGACTACATCGACTCAAGGCTGAGGACTGATTACCTCAAACTCCTCTTGATTTTCACCATTCTCCTTTGTATGGACTGATGAAGTCACTGTGATGAAACGTTTCCTCAATAAAGATACCCAAGTGTTGCATATGTGTCTAATTTATCAACTTGTTGGTTCACTGAACCATTCATTTACACTTCACTAGGTTATCATAAACTAAAATTACCGCATCTTTTATCACGTTTATGTGTTTGTAAAATCTTTTGAAAATTTCCTGAATATTATATTCAATAATGTCCTTAAATGCTTAACTCGTCTTCTATGGGAAAGCACTAAACCTGTAAGGGTTATACGTTTGGGGAGTGGGAGGTAATCAGGAAATAAGTCACTGACTTTTTTGGGTTATCCTAGGTAATTTACACTTGTTATGTATCATAATTTGTGTAACTATGTACCTGTACCTAAATAAACTTAATTAGGTTTGATCCAAAAATTGGGAGGACACACCTGTAACAAGTTGTAAGTATTTAGGTACTGGTACACAAATACATTTACACAAATTCTCATACATAGAAACGTGCGTAAATTACCCACAGGGATACCCCCCCATTATTATTATAATAATCAATGGGGGGGGCGCTAAACCCGTAGGATTATGCAGCACCTGTGGGGGGAGGGATGTGGAAGGTATCCTGGCTTAATTCAGGGAACTGGAGCACAGATCCAATTCCCTAGATCAAGAGCCCTTCACCAGCATCAAAGAACCGTAGCACAGATCCAATTCCCCAGATCAAGAGCCCCTCACCTGCATCAAAGAATCGTAGCACAGATCCAATTCCCTAGATCAAGAGCCCCTCACCAACATCAAAGAACCTTCCTTGAAGGGATAACCCCCCAAAAAACTCCAAAGTTGACTTACTTCCAATGGTGTCCTTGCAACTACCTCTAACAACATTGAACAACCTATTAACTACCCTACACTACCTCTGCATCAAGTGGGTTGAGTGGTGTCCTGATGACAGGAGAGTGTCAACCGAGTGCCACATAACCATGACAAGAACTATTTTTTGCCACCCAGTTATATCACTGGACACAGTCCACAGTATCTAGTTTGGTCTCTGAGTCTAATCTCAAATGTTATCGGGTTAAAATATATTGTTTAATTTTTTTCATTTGTTGTAGTACTTTATTGCGTGGTTCAAGCAAGGACCCCAGTGGAAATAAGTAAAGGGCTCCAGTGGAAATAAGTAAAGGACTCCAGTGGAAATGTCAAGGACCCCAGTGGAAATAAGTCAAGGACTCCAGTGGAAATAAGTCAAGGACTCCAGTGGAAGTAAGTCAAGGACTCCAGTGGAAATAAGTCAAGGACTCCAGTGGAAATAAGTCAGGGACCCCAATTGAAATAAGTCAAGGACCTTAGTTGAAATAAGTCAAGGACCTCAGTTGAAATGAGTCAAGGACTCTAGTGGAAACAAGTTAAGGACTCTAGGGAAGATAAGCCAATTACTCCAGCGGATATAAGCCAAGGACTCCAGTGGAAATAAGTCAAGGGCCCCAGTGGAAATAAGTCAAGAACTCTCCTCATTTCTCCTGTTGCTACTCTTGCAACAATACCGTGACTGGAACAATATACAAATAACCCGCACATTGGAGAGAGTACGACTTGGACCATTAAGTCACTTTGTTAATGGTCCAGGTCGTCAAAGTCTTCCTTTAACCCTTTCACTGTCGGTCTCGAAATAATTACGGCTCGCAAGCCTGGAGTTTACCTGGAGAGAGTTCCGGGGGTCAACGCCCCCGCGGCCCGGTCTGTGACCAGGCCTCCTGGTGGATCAGAGCCTGATCAACCAGGCTGTTGCTGCTGGCTGCACGCAAACCAACGTACGAGCCACAGCCCGGCTGATCAGGAACTGACTTTAGGTGCTTGTCCAGTGCCTGCTTGAAGACTGCCAGGGGTCTGTTGGTAATCCCCCTTATGCATGCTGGGAGGCAGTTGAACAGTCTCGGGCCCCTGACACTTATTGTATGGTCTCTTAACGTGCTAGTGACACCCCTGCTTTTCATTGGGGGGATGGTGCATCGTCTGCCAAGTCTTTTGCTTTCGTAGTGAGTGATTTTCGTGTGCAAGTTCGGTACTAGTCCCTCTAGGATTTTCCGGGTGTATATAATCATGTATCTCAACCGCCTGCGTTCCAGGGAATACAGGTTTAGGAACCTCAAGCGCTCCCAGTAATTAAGGTGTTTTATCTCCGTTATGCGCGCCGTGAAAGTTCTCTGTACATTTTCTAGGTCGGCAATTTCACCTGCCTTGAAAGGTGCTGTTAGTGTGCAGCAATATTCCAGCCTAGATAGAACAAGTGACCTGAAGAGTGTCATCATGGGCTTGGCCTCCCTAGTTTTGAAGGTTCTCATTATCCATCCTGTCATTTTTCTAGCAGATGCGATTGATACAATGTTATGGTCCTTGAAGGTGAGATCCTCCGACATGATCACTCCCAGGTCTTTGACGTTGGTGTTTTGCTCTAGTGATCATTTCATCATTTACTGCACCAGGAAAATCACTAGGGATAGGATAGGCCTACACATGACAATAAAAATGAGGTCAACTAGAAACTACAGTAAAGAAACACTGGTAAATAGGCTACACAATTGTGACTGGACAGAAATAACTAACTACAATATTACTATTGTTAGTGGTATATACCTTAAAGCTATTATTGTTACTGGTATATACTTTAAACCTACTATTATTAATGGTATATACTTCAAACCTACTGTTGCTACTGATATACACTTTATAGCTACTGTTACTACTGGTAAACAAGTTTCAAACATACTATACCAATAAAGGGGTAACCCCAAACAGTTGTCAACTAGTAAGTGTATCTCATGACTTTATTCAAAAAGAACTAAGCAGGTTAAACCCAACTAAGAGCACAGGCCCTGATAACATCCCATCTAAGTTCCTAAAAGATGGTGCTTCTGAACTGTCAATCCCTATTGCTCACATAATAAATCTATCAATCACCACTAATACCGTACCGGAGGGGTTCAAGGAGGCCAGAGTTACTCCTATCTTCAAGAAAAATAGTAGGTCTGATGTAAGTAACTATAGGCCTGTTAGTATACTTAGTATAATATCTAAAATTCTAGAGAGGGCGGTGTATTCTCAAGTAGTTAAGTACCTTAATGACAACAACATTCTCCATAGCTATCAATCGGGCTTTAGAAGATCCTACTCAACCGACACCCCCCTTATTAATCTGATGGATTACCTGAGAACTGAAATGTCAAAGGGGAACCTCATAGGTATGGTAACCTTAGACCTGCAAAAGGCCTTCGATACTGTCAACCACAATATATTATGTAATAAACTTCAAGCTATCGGTATAGGTTCTGTAGACTGGTTTAAGTCCTACCTTAGCAACAGGAGACAAATAGTCAAAAACAACAAAACAGAATCAGAACCCCTGCCGATAACATATGGAGTTCCCCAAGGTAGTATTCTGGGTCCCTTATTATTCTTATGTTATGTCAATGATATGCCTATCAGTGTCAAGTGCAAACTCCTACTGTATGCAGATGACAGTGCTCTGTTAGTGTCAGGTAAAGACCCACAAGATATTGCTAATGTTTTAACACTGGAACTGGAGTCCTGCAGCAAATGGTTAGTAGACAACAAACTATCATTACACCTAGGGAAAACTGAAGCCATTCTCTTTGGCACGAAACATAAACTGAGAAGGGTAAATAATTTTAATGTTCAATGTAATGGGGAGCCCATCACTTTGGTTTCATCAGTAAAATATTTGGGAATCCCCTTTGACCCATGCATGTCAGGAGAATTGATAGGGAACAGTGTAGTAAAGAAAGCGAATGCCAGACTGAAGTTCCTGTATAGACAAGCACAGTGTCTACCTACTGAGGCTCGCAGGACCCTATGTCTAGCCCTTATACAATGCCATATGGATTACGCTTGCTCTTCTTGGTACTCTGCCTTGACAAAAAAACTGAAAGATAGACTGCAAAATCACCCAGAACAAAATCGTAAGATTCATCCTGGGGCTGGGACAAGAGAACATGTAGGCCAGGATGAATTACAGCAGTTGGATATGCTGAATGTTGAAGACAGAGTAAAACAACTGAAGCTAAATCATGTTTATAAAATTGCTCACGAACAGTGTCCAGAATATCTTGCTGTCAATTTTGTCAAGGTTGGGAACCAAAGCAATCATAGTACTAGGGGGAGAGAGCACAACTTTGTAGTACCCACAGTCAGTGGCCAGGCTTCAAACACCTTTTATTGTACAGCAATAAAGGAATGGAACAGACTACCCACAAATGTCAAGGCCAGTCATAGCTTGAACCGGTTCAAGAAGACTGCCAAAAAGTGTCTGATGAATGAAGCAACAGAAAGGGAGGGGAATGATTTTCTATTTTTTAGCTAAAAATACGTGTAAATTTTACCTTATCCCTAGTAATGACCCTCGTATTGTAGATAGTCTTAATGACCCTCGTGTAGTAGATAGTCTTAATGACCCTCGTGTAGTAGATAGTCTTTTTAGTATGATAATAAGATGTTATCTTCATTATAGAATAATAAGAAAATATTATAACCTTTATATTATAATAATAAGGTAAAAGGACCCCAATGGAAATAAGTCACTCTGTCTGACTTTTTTGGGTTATCCTAGGTTCTCTACACATATGCTGCTATGTATGATAATTCTATGTAACTGTATTGTGTATACCTGAATAAATTTACTTACTTACTTACCTGAATAAACTTACTTACATCTAGACAAGAGACGTCTGGGATCAGGGCTCGTAGAGTACAAGCTGTGGTGGCCCTTAAACTCACCTGGGATAAGAGATAAGATTTCGTTCGGATTTTTAATCCCCGGAGGGTTAGCCACCCAGGATAACCCAAGAAAGTCAGTGCGTCATCGAGGACTGTCTAACTTATTTCCATTGGGGTCCTTAATCTGTGTCCCCCAGGATGCGACCCACACCAGTCGACTAACACCCAGGTACCTATTTGCTGCTAGGTGAACAGGACAACAGGCGTAAGGAAACGTGTCGAAATGTTTCCACCCGCCGGGAATCGAACCCGGGCCCTCCGTGTGTGAAGCGGGAGCTTTAGCCACCAGGCCACCGGGCCACCATCAGGGCTCGTGCATATATACCAGTATACCTAGCCCTATCTGGGGTATACTACCACCCCCCAGGATGCCACCCATAACAGTCAACTAACACCCAAGTACCTACTTATTGCTAGGTGAACAGGGACAGCAAGTGTCTTAAGGAAACGCGTCCAATGTTTCCATCTGTACTGGAGATCGAACGAAGGGCACTCAGTATGTGATCTGAGTGCGCTACCAACCAAGCTAGGGGACACCTTACTGTGTGAGATGAACGCAGTAGCACAGAATTGCTTTTTTTTAATCTCAGATTGTTGTGAATTGTTCCAGCCACGATATTGTACCTTTTATACTGCATGTACAAAGTGAACTGCTCAGTCATCTGTCAGATTGATCATGGCTCAAAAGTGGCTGTTACATCTGTTCACCTAGGTGTGCTGTTATATGTTCACCTAGGTGTGCTGAGGGCCCAAGAAAGACGACAGAAGAAAGAAGATGAACGACACCCCCAACCGGGGACCACAGCCGGGTCACCATATGGAGAAGACCCGGGCCGGAAGTACCGGCAAACCTCTAATGAATGAATGAATGTAGTATCCACAGTCAGTGGCCAGGCTTCAAACACCTTTTATTGTACAGCAATAAAGGAATGGAACAGACTACCCGCACATGTCAAAGCCAGTCATAGCATGAACCAGTTCAAGAAGAGTGCCAAAAGGTGTCTGATGAATGTAGCTACAGAAAGGGAGGGGAATGATTTTCTATTTTTTAGCTAACATACGTGTAAATTTTACCATATTCCTAGTAATGACCCTCGTATTGTAGATAGTCTTAATGACCTTGGTGTAGTAGATAGTCTTTTTAGTATGATAATAAGATGTTATCTTCAATTGTAGAATAATAAGAAAATATTATAACCTTTATATTATAATAAGGTAAAAGGACCCCAATGGAAATAAGTCACTCTGTCTGACTTTTTTGGGTTATCCTAGGTTCTCTACGCATATGCTGCTATGTATGATAATTCTATGTAACTGTATTTGTGTATACCTGAATAAACTTACTTACCTCTTCCTCCCTCTCTCCAGGCAAACACAACTGCTGCGAGCACCGCTGTCACAGTTTATAACGGGTTTGTATGGTAGGTGCTGCAAGCGGGTAGTAAATGATAAACTCCTTCGGAGGCTTCTTTCTTTATTGTTAAGTAGTGGTGGGTTACACAGGCTTGTGTATGTGCCCATGGCCCGGGCAGGGCCATCCCACGAGAGAGAGCTGGGAGCAGGCCTTGTGTGTTGCTGCTAGCTGCTGTGTGAGTGAGGGTGAGGTTGCTGCTAGCTGCTGTGTGAGTGAGGGTGAGGTTGCTGCTAGCTGCTGTGAGTGTGAGGTTGCTGCTAGGCTGCTGTGAGTGAGGGTGAGGTTGCTGCTAGGCTGCTGTGTGTGAGGGTGAGGTTGCTGCTAGGCTGCTGTGTGAGTGAGGGTGAGGTTGCTGCTAGGCTGCTGTGTGAGTGAGGGTGAGGTTGCTGCTAGGCTGCTGTGAGTGAGGGTGAGGTTGCTGCTAGGCTGCTGTGTGAGTGAGGGTGAGGTTGCTGCTAGCTGCTGTGTGAGTGAGGGTGAGGTTGCTGCTAGCTGCTGTGAGTGAGGGTGAGGTTGCTGCTAGCTGCTGTGTGAGTGTGGGTGAGGTTGCTGCTAGCTGCTGTGTGAGTGAGGGTGAGGTTGCTGCTAGCTGCTGCGTGAGTGTGGGTGAGGTTGCTGCTAGCTGCTGTGTGAGTGTGGGTGAGGTTGCTGCTAGCTGCTGTGTGAGTGAGGGTGAGGTTGCTGCTAGCTGCTGTGTGAGTGAGGGTGAGGTTGCTGCTAGCTGCTGTGTGAGTGAGGGCGAGGTTGCTGCTAGCTGCTGTGTGAGTGAGGGTGAGGTTGCTGCTAGCTGCTGTGTGAGTGAGGGTGAGGTTGCTGCTAGCTGCTGCGTGAGTGAGGGCGAGGTTGCTGCTAGCTGCTGTGTGAGTGAGGGTGAGGTTGCTGCTAGCTGCTGTGTGAGAGGGTGAGGCAAGTCTGGGCATACTGAAGTGGTAAGGCCTCTAGGTGGCAGCATCAGCATGGCGCGAAATATGAACTAAGCTGGCAGACAGCCTGGGCTGTCTGTGCAGACAGTACAGGCTGTCTACAGTGGTGGTAGTAGTAGTGGTAACAGTGGTGGTGGTAGTAGTGGTGGTGGTAGTAGCGGTGGTGGTGGTGGTAGTGGTGGTGGTAGTAGTAGCGGTGGTGGTGGTAGTGGTGGTAGTAGTGGTAGTAGTAGCGGTGGTGGTGGTAGTGGTGGTGGTAAGTAGTGGTGGTGGTAGTAGTAGCGGTGGTGGTAGTAGTGGTGGTGGTAGTAGTAGTGGTAGTGGTGGTAGTAGTGGTGGTGGTAGTAGTGGTGGTGGTAGTAGTAGTGGTAGTGGTGGTAGTAGTGGTGGTGGTAGTAGTGGTGGTGGTAGTAGTGGTGGTGGTAGTAGTGGTGGTGGTAGTGGTAGTTAGTTTAATATGTTTATTATGCACCCCATACCCATCCTGTGGGCGGTAGTCAAAAGATTACAGAGGTACATAATTGGTCCAGGGACTGGACTCCAAAGTTTTGATAGCTGAGCAAGTTACAGAGGTAATGAACTCACAATTTACAAAGGTAGTGGTGGTAGTTGTGGTGGTGGTAGTAGTGGTGGTGGTGGTAGTGGTGGTAGTCGTGGTGGTGGTAGTAGTGGTGGTGGTAGTAGTGGTGGTGGTAGTAGTGGTGGTGGTAGTAGTGCGCATGCGTCACTGCTCACAACACAACATTTGAACAAGAGTGATGCTGGTGGTGGTGTTGGTGAAGGTGTGAGGCTGCTCTCCCCATCACTTGTGTTGTGATAACACTCACCATGAGGACCAGGAGAGGCACAATACTCACAGGTAACACCTCTCTTCACACTACTTACAATAATATCTTATAACAAGTCATTAATACGACTGAAACATAGAGAATTACAGAATCATTTAGTAGGAAGGCAAAGAACTGCCCACAAATTGAAGGAAATGAATACGAATTCATTCACTGAGGACAATTAATGAAAACTTTTCGTTGTTTGATCACTTCATTCATTTGTTTTTTGAAATTATGAAGGCCCAGTGATCGAAACTTTACAATAAATGTCTCATAATAATCAAAATATAATTCTCTATCAAACTTATTAAATCCATATAGCATGAACTAATACAATATTCAATTCTGTTTTATTCATTGTAACTCACCTAGTGATCTTATGTACAAAATTGTTACACATACTTAGCATGTAAATTACCCAGGATAACCAAAAAAAAAAAAAATGACTTAATTCCATTTAGATTAATGATTTTGACTTTCGTTAGTTATTTTCTAGGTTGAATTATATATCCTGTCACCACTGTCTATAATAATTATATGTGGTTAATGCAGTAGTTGCTGAAGACATTACTGATATTTAAAAATGCAACCACTGTTTAAGTTGACCATGTCAAGACATGCAAATATATACTTTTCCTACCAAGAGAAACAGATTAATATGTCATAAATAACAATTCTTATTATCTGTTTCAGTTAGATATCTAAGTTGCAAATCTGTCTTATCCACCTGTGGGTATTGTGTACTATTATTATGTTCTCAAGTTATTTTCTTTGCCTTTGTATAAAGGCAAAGGGGATAAAAGAGAGTGCAAAAATTATAGAGGAATAAATCTGTTGAGTATACCTGGTAAAATGTATGGTAGAGTTATTATTGATAGAATTAAGAGTAAGACTGAGAGTAGGATAGCAGATGAACAAGGAGGCTTTAGGGAAGGTAGGGGGTGTGTGGACCAGGTGTTTACAGTGAAACATATAAGTGAACAGTATTTAGATAAAGGTAAAGAGGTTTTTGTGGCATTTATGGATTTGGAAAAGGCATATGACAGGGTGGATAGGGGGGCAATGTGGCAGATGTTGCAGGTGTATGATATAGGAGGTAGGTTACTGAAAGCAGTGAAGAATTTTTACGAGGATAGTGAGGCTCAGGTTTGAGTATGTAGGAAAGAGGGAGATTATTTCCCAGTAAAAGTACGCCTTAGACAGGGATGTGTGATGTCACTGTGGTTGTTCAATATATTTATAGATGGGGTTGTAAGAAGTGAATGCTAGGGTCTTGGCAAGAGGCGTGGAGTTAAAAGATAAAGAATCAAACACAAATGCAGAGGTTGGTGGATGAATTTGGTAGGGTATGTAAAAGAAGAAAATTAAAAGTGTATATAGGAAAGAGTAAAGTTATGAGGATAGCAAAAAGATTAGGTGATGAAAGAATGGATATGAGATTGTAGGGAGAGAGTATGGAGGAGGTGAATGTATTCTGATATTTAGGAGTGGATGTGTCAGCAGATGGATCTATGAACGATGAGGTGAATCACAGAATTGATGAGGGGAAAAGGGTGAGTGGGACACTTAGGAATCTGTGGAGACAAAGAACTTTGTCCGTGGAAGCAAAGAGGGGAATGTATGAGAGTATAGTTGTACCAGCACTCTTGTATGGGTGTGAAGCATGGGTGATGAATGGTGCAACGAGGAGAAGGCTGGAAGCAGTGGAGATGTCATGTCTGAGGGCAATGTGTGATGTGAATATAATGCAGAGAATTCGTATTTTGGAAATTAGGAGGTGTGGGATTACCAAAATTATTATCCAGAGGGCTGAGGAGGGGTTGTTGAGGTGGTTCGGACATATAGAGAGAATGGAACAAAACAGAATGACTTCGAGAGTGTATAAATATGTAGTGGAAGGAAGGCGGGGTAGGGGCCGGCCTAGGAAGGGTTGGAGGGAGGGGGTAAAGGAGGTTTTGTGTGCGAGGGGTTTGGACTTCCAGCAAGCGTGCGTGAGCGTATTTGATAGGAGTGAATAGAGACAAATGGATTTTTAATACTTGACGTGCTGTTGGAGTGTGAGCAAAGTAACATTTATGAAGGGATTCAGGGAAACCGGCAGGCCGGACTTGAGCCCTGGAGATGGGAAGTACAGGAGGGGTGTTAATACTGCAGTTTGTATATATATATATAATTTCCACATGATAAATCATTGGTTGGCATTACATCAATCACATGGAAAGACCCTTAGTTATGCAGATCATTTTGAGCAAATTTAAACCTAACTTACTTTAAATATTGTATATAAGACATAATTAATATTCACAATAAAATACAGTGGTCCCTCGTTTTTCGTAATTAATCCGTTCCTGGAGGAGCTACTATAAACGAAATTTACGATTTGCGAATCAATTTTCCCCATAAGAAATAATGTAAATACTATTAATCCGTTCCTGACACCCAGAAGTATTAAAACAAAAAAATTTTTTACATGAAATATACATGTAGTACATAAACAATACAATGGGAAATGATGAATTAAACATTAACAGCATAACACTTACCTTTATTGGAGATTCTTCTTAGTGTATGGGAGACTGGAGGAGGAGAGAGAGTGGGTTGTTTATAGTTTGGAAGGGGAATCCCCTTCCAGCAACACCTCAGGTGCCAATTGCTTTTCTGGGGTTGCTTCTCTTCTCTGTTTCTTAATGCCACTAGGACCACCTTGAGAGTCACTGGAGTCCTGTCTCGCAAAATAACTGTGGAGAGAGCTCTGTTTCTGGTGTTTCTTTAACACTTCCCTAAAATGGCCCAAGACTTTGTCACTGTTCATGTTGCCAACATGGCTTGCAACAACCTTGTTAGGGTGATGTTTCTCCATAAAGCTTTCCATCTTACCCCACATAGTAAAAATCTCTTTAATTTCTGAAGAAGGCACCTTCTTCCATCTCTCTTCCGCCTCCTCTGCAGCAAGATTCTGAGCTGCGATGTGTTGCTCTTCCTGCTGAAGCTCTTGCAGCTCCTCAGTGGTGAGCTCTTCATTGTGGTCTTCCACCAATTCTTCCACATCCTCCAAACTCACATCCAACCCCATGGAACTCCCCAGTGCCACAATTGATTTTACAACAGACATAGGCTCATCAGGGTCAGCCCCAAACCCTTCATAATCCCTCTTGTCGACACAATCTGGCCACAATTTTCTCCAGGCAGAGTTCAAAGTCCTGGTAGTCACTCCCTCCCAAGCCATACCTATAAGGGTTATGTAATGGAGGATGCTGAAGTGTTCTCTCCAAAATTCCCTTAGGGTCAAGTGAGTGTCTGTGGTCACAGTCAAGCACCTGTGAAACATTGCTTTTGTGTAGAGTTTTTTAAAGTTTGCAATGACCTGCTGGTCCATGGGCTGGAGGAGAGGAGTGGTATTCGGGGGGAAGAACTTTACTGTGATGAACCCAAACTCTTCGAAAATTAGGTCATCCAAGTTTGGAGGATGAGCAGGTGCATTGTCCATTACTAGCAGGCACTTGAGATCCAATTTCTTTTCCAGGAGGTAATTCTTCACACTAGGGCCAAACACTTCATTGAACCACTCGACGAAAATTTCCCTCGTGACCCATGCCTTACTATTAGATTTCCAAAACACACACAATTTACTATTCATAACATTGTTTTTCCTGAACACTGGGTTTTTCAGAATGGTACACTAGTAATGGCTTCACTTTGAAATCCCCACTAGCATTAGCACAGAACATTAGCGTCAGCCTGTCTTTCATAGGCTTGTGTCCTGGCATTGCCTTTTCATCTTGTGTAATGAAGGTCCTCTTTGGCATTTTCTTCCAAAAGAGGCCTGTTTCGTCACAATTGAACACTTGTTCAGGTTTCAGTCCTTCAGCCTCTGTGTACTCCTGGAATTCATGCACATATTTTTCAGCCGCCTTGTGGTTCGAACTGGCAGCCTCACCATGCCTTACCACACTGTGTATGCCAGTACGGTTCTTAAATCTCTCAAACCAGCCTTTGCTGGCCTTAAATTCACTCACCTCACCACTAGTTGCAGGCAATTTCTTTACCAAATCGTCATGCAACTGCCTAGCCTTTTCACAAATAATTGAAGTCATAAGAGTATCTCCTGCTAATTGTTTTTCATTTATCCACACCAATAATAACTTCTCAACCTCTTCGAGTACTGGTGATCTCATTTTTGTCAGCATAGTTACCCCCTTTGCAACAACAGTCACCTTGATTTCCTTTTTCTTGGCCACTATGGAACATAAGGTTGTGTAGGGTTTCTTATACATCCTGGCCAGTTCGGCCACACTTGTACCACTTTCATATTGTTCAATGATGGTTTTCTTAAATTCAATCATATTTCTCACCTTCTTTACCACAGGCTTGGCACTAGGAGCTTTCTTTGGAGCCATGGTGGCTTATTTATTACTTGCAAGCACTAAAATAAATGGAATATTATGAAATATTTTGCTGGAGCACGTGAGGGGACCTTCGCTCATTGGTAAACAATGCCAGACAGGCTGCTGCCACGGCTCACGCCGTGGGTACGTGTCCCGGACGAACTACGACTTGCGAGTCAGCCTATGAAAAGCGAGTCCATGTTTATACGAAAATACCCCTATGATTGGCGAAATTTACGATTGCCGAGAACTACGAAAAGCGAGGGACCACTGTAGATTAAACGTATATGAATCAAATGTATATGAAGCATATTAAATCTTTGCTAGGTACACTTGATAATATGAACACAGATTATACTATATTAAAATTATTGAGTTAATTCAAATTAAAAATTATAATGATAATTACAATAGGAGTGAAAATAGTAACATGAATTATGACAAATGTGATGAGATAGTATTTTACATATATGTATACTGTATAACATTTTGATATTCACAGGAAAATAAATTCATTGAGAATGACTTGAATGTATATGAAGCAGGTAAAAAAAAAAATAGCATGAGAACACAAATACTTAGTTAATACTGTGAAATTACATTAAGGATGAAGCTAGTTACCTGAACTGATACAAAATGTGATGAGATAGTATATGCCTATTTAGTAATAAATAAAAGTTGAAGGAGGCTCCCTTTCTGCCAACCACATCAAAGCTACTCCTTATCTTAATGGGATCCTGTCAACAATTTATTATGCTGAACAAATCCTGAAACCCTGTCTTTCATCCAATTTTGTCCCTGTTCTTGTTCCATCCTTCCTTCAACTTTCATTTATTACTAAATAGGCATATACTATCTCAAAACATTTTGTATCAATTCAGGTAACTAGCTTCATCCTTATTGCAATTTTTATTAAATTTTATGATAAATTACTGAATACCTTTAACCCTTTGAGGGTTTCGGACGTACTAGTACGGCTTACGACCCAGGGTTTTTGACGTACTAGTACGCCTAAATTCTAGCGCCCTCAAATCTAGTGGGAGAAAGCTGGTAGGCCTTCATATGAAAGAATGGGTCTATGTGGTCAGTGTGCATAGTCTAAAAAAAATCCTGCAGCACACAGTGCATAATGAGAAAAAAAAAACTTTGACAATTTTTTTGGAATAAAACAGCGACTTTGCACTGTATTTTCGTATGGTATTTATTGTTGTATTCTAGTTTTCTTGGTCTCATTTTATAGAATGGAAGACATATTACAGAAATTGAGATGATTTTGACTGGTTTTACAATGAAAGGTACCTTGAAATTGAGCTCAAAGTAGCAGAAATGTTCGATTTTTACCAAATTTCAAAAGTAAACAAATCGTGCCAAGCGTGCAATACACATCAACTGGTGAGTCTAATATTCTTTTACAAGTGCATCAATAATATTTATACCATTTTTTACACTAATGCAGTAGTCTGCATAACAGTAAATCTTATATTTTTTGTGAGAATAAAAATTCAAAGTGGATAACAAAAGAATATAAGAGGGGCCTTGAGACGTGACTAATGACCAGAGGAAATGTCATTTTAGTGCCAGGAATGTCTTTCTTGTTTATTCTGGACCCTATTCGGAAATTGGCATCTTTTGAAATTTGTGTGAAATTGGCAAAATTGCTAAATTCTGACCACTGTACTGGATAGTTGAATTTCATAAATGGGTGGTTTCTTGCACCCATTCGATAGAAAAAATGGAGTTCTAGCGAAATATTCATGTTTTTTGTCGACTAGTACAGTGAAATTGGCCGAAAATGGGGCTCAAAGTGGGCAAAATCGCCGATGCGTAAAAATCGTTGAGACCGCTAACTTTGCGAGAGCATAATTCCGTAAGTTTTCCATCAAATTTCAAACGTTTGGTGTCCTTATGATCGGGAAAAGATTCTCTATCTTTTCATAAGAGAAAATAATTTTTTTTTTTTTAAATTTGGCCGACCCTGAGAACGAGTTTCGGAGAGGGCCTGTCGACCCTCAAAGGGTTAATATAGTATTAACTAAGTATTCGTATTCTCACATACCTTGCTCTGATTTTATCTGCTACATATACATTCAAATAATTCTCATCCTCACACCTTAATACTCCATAACCCTTTTGGGTTCAGCACTTGCTTTCTTTTAATGTAATACTAGAAATAACTGCATACTGAATATAATCAATTGTTTTTTTCAGGCTCTGATGTAGGCCAACCAGTGGAACATAATGGCTCTACTTCAGAGAGTCAAGGTAAAAATGTAGGTATGGCCTGCCACTCCAGACAGGTCTATTCTTTACGAACGATGTCAGATGGACAGTCTCCAGTGCTTAAAAGAAAGTCAGTTTTATCTTGTGCTGTCGGAACTCAGTCAAAGACTCATTTTTCATGTGTGAATAAAGAATCCAGTTTTGATGTTAGCCTTCTTGCATCTCCAATAATAGGGCACAGAAAGTTGAATATTATTCAAAAGCAATTGAATTTTAAAAAGAATGACCTTGATGAGGAAAACAAAAACATTTGCAAGGTGAAGTCTCATAAGCGCTCTGTATTGCTCTCTCCGCTCAGTGAGAGGAGTAATAATATAAATTCCAGGAAAAGAACAAATGGTTTGGAAGTTCAGCATAAGATTACTGGTATTCCTGAGAAAATGAGTAAGCGGGGAAATAGAGTTTGTGATAAGGAAAATTCTATCTTGACAAATGAAAAAGATCTTCCATTGAAGAAATCAAAAAGAATTAAGAAGGAAATTAGTCCAGTCGGGCAGTTAAGGCAGACTGATGGAACAAAACAGGTTTCTAAAAAGAATCTTCCACTAGAACAAGCTTCAAACCTAAACGAGTATGTGTGTGCTATGGTGGAAACTACAAGTGGCAGAAGGTCGAATTTAAAACCTAGAGGTGGGATTTCATACCAAGAATCGCTAATGAAAGGAATTGGCAGAATAAGGAACAAAAATAATTTGGTTACATCAAAGGAGAATGCAGAAAAAAGTAATGGTAAAAATCATTTGCTTAGTAAAGTGTCTACAAAGGGTGGTATTGTTAAAAGCAAATTTTCTAAAGCCTCATCAAAATCTTCAGTAAATCCAGCAGTTTCACAAGCTTCGTCAAAGTTGGCAATAACTCCGGAAAACTCACGAGCTTCAAGATCTTCAGTAAGAAGTACAGCAGTTTCACGAACCTCATCAGAGTCGGCAATAACTCCAGAAGATTCACAATCTTCAAGATCTTCAGCAAGAAGTACAGCAGTTTCACGAACCTCATCAGAGTCGGCAATAACTCCAGAAGATTCACAATCTTCAAGATCTTCAGCAAGAAGTACAGCAGTTGCACAAGCTTCATCAAAGTCAGCATTAACTCCAGAAGATTCACGAGCTTCAAGATCTTCAGTAAGAAGTACAGCAGTTTCACGAACCTCATCAGAGTCGGCAATAACTCCAGAAGATTCACGAGCTTCAGGATCTTCAGTAAGAAGTACAGCAGTTGCACGAACCTCATCAGAGTCGGCAATAACTCCAGAAGATTCACGAGCTTCAAGATCTTCAGCAAGAAGTACAGCAGTTGCACAAGCTTCATCAAAGTCAGCATTAACTCCAAAAGATTCACGAGCTTCAAGATCTTCAGTAAGAAGTACAGCAGTTTCACGAACCTCATCAGAGTCGGCAATAACTCCAGAAGATTCACGAGCTTCAAGATCTTCAGTAAGAAGTACAGCAGTTGCACAAGCTTCATCGAAGTCAGCATTAACTCCAAAAGATTCACGAGCTTTAAGATCTTCAGCAAGAAGTACAGCAGTTTCATGTGCTTTTTGCCTAGGAGTTTCACCTACTTCTTCACAATCTCCTGCTCATCAAGTTACATACTCTACAAAATCTTTAGCTCAAACTTCAACAAGATTCCGAAATGAGAAAGTATCACATGGTGAACAACAAAAAAAACTGCCAGTTTGGGCAATGGATTCTAAACCTAACTCTGGAAAGAGGAGATCTATAAGGGTTAAAAGTAAAGATATATTTGACTTTGTGTGTGACCCATTAGATGAGATAGTAAAGAAGAGACGAGTGGCTAAGCCTAGAGGCCAAAAGAGAGTTAGAACACATAAGCCAAAACTTAAATTAACACTGCTTACAACTGATCCAGATAAGGAGATTACATTTCCCTCAGAAAACCAAATTCCTATCAGTACCAACACTACCAGGAGAGAGACTGAATCAGCAACATCCAGTATGTGCAATGTCAGGGAAGATAGTGATTCAGCAGGCACTGCCAGGAGAGAGATCGAATCTGCAGCACCTAGTGTGTGTAGTGCCAGGGTAGATGGTGATTTAGCAGGCACTCCCAGGAGAGAGACTGAATCTGCAGCATCTAGTGTATGCAGTCCCAGAGAAAATGATGAATTATCAGGAAACGACATCTCTGATGATGAATTTGCGAGAGAGTGTGTTACCTCAGAGGACAATTGTAATGATTTTTACAGTCATGAAACTGAAAGTGTCACTAAAGAATATGATTTTGAAACCACTAGTTCATTTGTTCCTACAAAACTAATATCATCTAAATCAATTCCAATGAGCTCAGTCAGTGTATTTCCTACCCCTGCTATTTCTAAGAACATTTCTAAATACATCGGAGGCTCATCCACTCCAAGGGTTGAAAACGCAAAGGCATCAGATTCTTGTGTTGATTTAATTGATGAGCAAGCTACAAACATAGCAAAAGAAGATATTGTAACTTGTTTTGGCTTTGATGAAATGGAGTGTGAGTTGGAAGGGAGTGAGCTTGACTTGTCTCCTGTGAGATGTTCAGGACAACTGCAGTCTTGCTTGGAAGTGACTGGTACATCAGATGTGTACAATGAATGCCATCCATCAAGTCAACCATCACGTTTCTCTTGGGGTTTCCTTCGACCTGGAAATCGAAGTAATATATCTGCTAGTCGCTCATCGAGTGTGTTGGCTGTGCATGGTTTGTCATCATCGTTACCAAGTTTTTTAAGTTCAATCCGATCCCAAAAATCTATGGTGTCAAATGCTAATCTTGGCAAAAGTGTTCAAAGAAAGAAATTAAAAGAAACTGATCATTCAAGTGAAGTTGGAGAAGGAAAAAATAAAACAATTGCTCATCCTGCAACATGCAGAAACCAGGATACTGGTATTGAAGATGTCAACACTTCAATTTTTGTTGAAGAGAAAGATGCAGATAAACAACAGAAGGGAAATCAAGCAAAGCTGAATAATGTAGACAAGATTGTTCAAAGAAAGGTATTAAAAGAAAAAAATAATTCCCTTCAAGTTGAAGTAAGAAAAAGTCAGAGAACAAAAAAAAATCCTCAGGCTGCAATGTGTGAAAATGAGGATTCTGAGAAAGATACCAATGTGTCGTTACTGTTTGACGAGGATGATGTGGAAAACCTAGAGAAGGAAAATGTAGAAAACATGAGTTGTCTACCTGGGAATGGCTGCTCCCCTAAGAGGATTCATCATAAACCTATGGATGATGAGCTTAACTCACCTGAGAAATCATTTTTAAAGGTTAGTGCAGAAGCAATCATTTTGGGAGGTATTATGGCTTGAATTTTTGCTATCCTTTTATATTACATTTAAACCACTTTTTAATTACTACTGTACTGTTTGTGTTTTATTCAGCCAGTGGATTAGTTTGAAGTGTTGATGTGGCATTTTATTATCTGGGAATACTTATACCATATTACAGTGTGCAGTAAGTTCACACACGCCTGTAACTTTCATTGGATGTATGGGATTATAGCATGACACTGAAGATAGTCATGTTAGGTTTGCGTAAAAAAAATTTCATGTTCTTAATAATTTTGTTTTGTGTTGATTAAATTTGTTTATTTGTAATCATGCCTTCATGTTCTGATAATCTTACAAATACATTTAGGATAAAATGATGTACTGTAGAGTAATTACCTGCAGATGACCAAGCTGTATTCTAGAGAAACTGTTATTTAAAAGTAAATTTTATGTTGACTTATATTTCTCCATAAGCTCCTAGTTTCTGGTATAGTAACATTTTGTATCTTAATTTCTTGTTTTTAACAAAAAATTATCAGGGAAATCTAAAGATGAATAAAAAAGGACTTGCAAATATTTAATGGGTGCCCTGCACATTGTGGTATATCTTAGCATATGGTGTGCAGCTTTGTACAGTGGAACCCTGGTTTTCGCCTGGTCCGGTTATCGTGCAGTTCAGTTTTCGACCACTTTTTTCAGTGAAATTTTCCCTATTTTCGTACATCCGCTCAGAAATCGTCCATACCAGACGTGTCCGCCTGCCCGTGGGACACGGCCGCTCATACATTCGTGACTCAGTCTGCCTTTGTTACTCGTTCAGTGAACATTATTCCACGCGTTCATCCGAAACATTTCGTATTTTGTAATAATCCATTGTTTTTTGTGCTTGTGACTGCTAAATAAGCTACCATGGGGCCAAAGAAAGTTCCGAGTGCCAGAAGGATTTTGAAGGGTTTGAGGCTGACCCTGACGACCCTATGCCTGTTGTGGAATCTATTGTGTCTTTGGGGAAGTCCATGGGGTTGGAGGTGAGTGGTCAGGATGTGGGAGTTGGTGGACGACTACAGGGAAGAGCTAACCACCGAAGAGCTACAAGACCTTCATCTGGAACAGCACTAGACCTTAGCTGAGGAAATTGCTTCAGAGGAGGAGGAAGAGAGAGGGGAGAATGTGCACTCTTCAGTGATTAAGGACATAAGTGCAAAGTGGAGTGAGGTGCAAACTTTTGTGGAGAAATATCACCCCAACAAAGCTTTTGCAAGCCATGTCAGCAACATGTTCAATGACAGTGCCGTGTCCCATTTTAGGCAAAGCTTAAAGAGACGCCAGAAACAGGCCTCTCTAGACAGATTTTTTGTGTGACAGGGGTCCAGTGACTCAAGCTGGTCCTAGTGCCAGTAAAGGACAAAGAAGGGAAGTAACCACGGATAGGGCTTTGATACCTGAAGTCCTTATGGAGGGGGATTTTTCCTTCCAAACAATAACCTCTCTCTCTCTCTCCTCTCCTCACTATCTTCCATATGCCAACAAGAGCCTTCAATAAAGGTAAAAGTGATGTTAAATGTTCATTTATCCATTTCATTAGTGCTATACAGAACCTAATACTTTGAATAAATGGCTGGGAGTTACTTCACAATTATGCAAAACTACAACAGCCCAGATTTCAACCAGTAGCAGAGAAAATGGATATAAAAATCAAGGACCATATTACAAGATGGTACAGCTGCAGAGGTACTAACAATGCAGAATAACCTAGACATCCCAAATGATAAGTCCTTTCATATACAAAGGATGTTTTAAATAGATGTGAGGGCAGACCTACAGTGTATATAGATATGAGAGAGTAAATATGTACGTTAGTAGAACCGTTTAAATCCTCAGATTTAAATGAAAAAAAAAATCTGGTAATTATCCTTTTACAGTAAAACCTTTTATTAACGGGCATATGGAATGGGGGTGGGGTGGTATTATAATGCCAATTGTCCACATCTCCCAAATTATGAAATTAGCATTTCATGATTGTCTGTTTGTCATCTGAAGTAGTGGACTTGGCCCACTTATTCAAAAGACAACCAGTCACTAAGAATATGGGTGCTGTAACCTGTGTTGCTACAGTACAGTAATTTTATAGTACTCCTTGTAACTTACAATAATTTTATTTACGTTTTTATGATGGAGAAATGTGTAAACTGCTGTGATTGAGAATGGTGACTCAGAATAATTTTTATTCCGAGTCAGAGGAGCTGTAAAGCTCTGCTAGTGAAAATAATTTAGAAGATTGAGAAGACTTAGATTTCTGAGAACCACATGTTTCCCTTGGCACTACCACTTACCTAGAAACTGAATGATGAATGTCTGTGAGAGGGAGCACAAACAATAAATGGGCAAGTGGCTTAAGGCTTAGGAACAATGAAAACAGACAGGTCCTAGACATGGCCACTATAGCTCGTAATGGACAGACATCAGGGTTAGTGGACTTGACCTGATACTACAGAAGACAACTGGATGCTATCACTTTGGACAAAATGTGGAATTAGGCTTGTCCGTTTTGTCTGATAATTACAGCATTTGTCTAGCCAATTTTTTTGTCTGAAATTGCAGAAATCAGTTTGAGAGGTCCATTAATGAGTGGGTTTTACTGTATATGAACTGCTGTCAGCCATGAAGTTCATGGACCAGATAAGCAAATAACAGCCTTGAAAACTTTGAAAATCCTACTGCAGATATTATCCTCTAGCAATTTCAACCTGCCAAATGTTAAATGCAAGATGGTAGACAACTGCATTACACCATAAGTAGGACCTGAAAAGATGTTAGCTCCACAGACAGATGCCAGAGAACTATTAGGGCTCTGAAAAGCATACTTTGAACCAACAGATAACATATCCTATTAGAAATGAAAATAAACTAGAATGAGGAGCTAATGACACATAACAGTCCCAAATGTGCTACAATCACTACCTCATTCAAGTATAAATAAGCATAAATTCATGTGTAGAGAGCCTAAGAAATAGCCAATGTGAAGGGATGTTCAGTAAATTTAACTTAAACAATTGGAGTATTAACTGGAACAAAATAAGAAAAAGACTATCACACATTCCCTGGGAGAAAAGCCTGAGCACTCTTAACCCTCACCAGTGCTTGGAAAAGCTGAGTATAGAAGTTTACAAAGTCTGCATAAAATATGTTCCACTGAGAAAGCCTGCAAGATCAGGTTCTGCATTTAAAGATAAAATGGGTTACCATACTGAGTTAAAAATGAGCATATTTCACAAGAAAGGAAAGGTAATCTCTACAAAGGGATTGCCGATGTAGAGCAGAAATTAAAACTTACACCAAATGGAAGAACTACAAAGCAAAACATTGTTCAGAAAATTGCAAGAAAAACCTGATTATTTCTACATCTGCAAAATCAAAGCAGAAAATCACTTCTAGATTTGACCCACCTCTCATAGGGTGTTCATCTACTGGTGACGAAAAGGAAATGAGCTAATTTTTCGAAGATCAATTTAAATTCACTAGATTAAGAGAGAATTGATAGTTTTTTCATTCTCTCTTCCCCTATAATTTGGAAAGGTAATAGAAAACATGCCCCTATATGCAGCATCAGGGCCTGGTTTATGAATTTATTTTTATAGAGTACAAAATACCGCTAATGCAAGCACTTAGTATTCTTTGGAAAAAGAGTTTAGAGTGAAATCCCAGAAGTGGGAAAAAGATATTGCTTTGCATGGAGTCAATAAAGTAATTAAACTGGAAATGCTTCAGTGTTCTGGGAATGTTCTCTCTGGAGTGAAGAAGAGAAACCTGATAATATAGTCAGTAAACCATTGATAGAACAGAATAACAAAAGGGAGCAATTGTGGCAGATAGATATGAGTTTTTGTGGTGATTGTAACAATAAGTGATACTTCTGCAGCCAACAGACTTTGTCCATCATTTTTGGATCTGTTGCCCCATCAGATTTTGTCCCATATTAGAAGTATTGCCAGAACTAGTGTAGAAGTTGTTTAATAATAATAATAATAATAATAATAATAATAATAATAAGAATAAGAAGAAAATTGTCAAAGTGGGAAGTCTGAATGTGCGTGGATGTTGTGCAAATGATAAGAAAGAGATGATTGTGGATGTTATGAATGAGAAGAAACTGGATGTCCTGGCTTTAAGTGAAACAAAGCTGAAGGGGGTGGGAGAGTTTCAATGGAGAGGAATAAATGGGATTAGATCAGGGGTTTCAAATAGAGTTAGAGCTAAAGAAGGAGTAGCAATAATGTTGAAGGATAAGCTATGGCAGGAAAAGAGGGACTACAAATGTATAAATTCAAGGATTATGTGGAGTAAAATAAAGATTGGATGTGAAAAGTGGGTTATAGTAAGCGTGTATGCACCTGGAGAAGAGAGAAGTGTAGAGGAGAGAGAGAGATTTTGGGAAATGTTGAGTGAATGCGTGGGGAGTTTTGAATCAAGTGTGAGATTAATGGTGGTTGGGGATTTCAATGCTAAAGTGGGTAAAAATGTTATGGAGGGAGTAGTAGGTAAATTTGGGGTGCCAGGGGTAAATGTAAATGGGGAGCCTTTAATTGAGCTATGTGTAGAAAGAAATTTGGTAATAAGTAGTACATATTTAAAAGAAAAAGAGGATAAATAAATATACAAGGTATGATTTAGCACGTAATGAAAGTAGTTTGTTAGATTATGTATTGGTGGATAAAAGGTTGATGGGTAGACTCCAGGATGTACATGTTTATAGAGGGGCAACTGATATATCGGATCATTATTTAGTTGTAGCTACAGTTAGAGTAAGAGGTAGATGGGAAAAGAGGAAGGTGGCAACAACAAGTAAGAGGGAGGTGAAAGTGTATAAAACTAAGGGAGGAGGAAGTTCGGGTGAGATATAAGCGACTATTGGCAGAAAGGTGGGCTAGTGCAAAGATGAGTAGTGGGGGGGGGGTTGAAGAGGGTTGGAATAGTTTTAAAAATGCAGTATTAGAATGTGGGGCAGAAGTTTGTGGTTATAGGAGGGTGGGGGCAGGAGGAAAGAGGAGTGATTGGTGCAATGATGAAGTAAAGGGTGTAATAAAAGAGAAAAAGGTAGCTTATGAGAGGTTTTTACAAAGCAGAAATGTTATAAGAAGAGCAGAGTATATGGAGAGTAAAAGAAAGGTGAAGAGAGTGGTGAGAGAGTGCAAATGGAGAGCAGATGAAAGAGTGGGAGAGGCACTGTCAAGAAATTTTAATGAAAATAAGAAAAATTTTTGGAGCGAGTTAAACAAGTTAAGAAAGCCTAGGGAAAGTATGGATTTGTCAGTTAAAAACAGAGTAGGGGAGTTAGTAGATGGGGAGATGGAGGTATTAGGTAGATAGCGAGAATATTTTGAGGAACTTCTAAATGTTGAGGAAGAAAGGGAGGCGGTAATTTCATGCACTGGCCAGGGAGGTATACCATCTTTTAGGAGTGAAGAACAGAATGTAAGTGTGGGGGAGGTACGTGAGGCATTACGTAGAATGAAAAGGGGTAAAGCAGCTGGAACTGATGGGATCATGACAGAAATGTTAAAAGCAGTGGGGGATATAGTGTTGGAGTGGTTGGTACTTTTGTTTAATAAATGTATGAAAGAGGGGAAGGTACCTAGGGATTGGCGGAGAGCATGTACAGTGGACCCCCGGTTAACGATATTTTTTCACTCCATAAGTATGTTCAGGTGCCAGTACTGACCGAATTTATTCCCATAAGGAATATTGTGAAGTAGATTAGTCCATTTCAGACCCCCAAACATACACGTACAAACGCACTTACATAAATACACTTACATAATTGGTCGCATTCGGAGGTAATCGTTATGCGGGGGTCCACTGTATAGTCCCTTTATATAAAGGGAAAGGGGACAAAAGAGATTGTAAAAATTATAGAGGAATAAGTTTACTGAGTATACCAGGAAAAGTATACGGTAGGGTTATAATTGAAAGAATTAGAGGTAAGACAGAATGTAGGATTGCGGATGAGCAGGGAGGCTTCAGAGTGGGTAGGGGATGTGTAGATCAAGTGTTTACATTGAAGCATGTATATGTGAACAGTATTTAGATAAAGGTAGGGAAGTTTTTATTGCATTTATGGATTTAGAAAAGGCATATGATAGAGTGGATAGAGGAGCAATGTGGCAGATGTTGCAAGTATATGGAATAGGTGGTAAGTTACTAAATGCTGTAAAGAGCTTTTATGAGGATAGTGAGGCTCAGGTTAGGGTATGTAGAAGAGAGGGAGAATACTTCCCGGTAAAAGTAGGTCTTAGACAGGGATGTGTAATGTCACCATGGTTGTTTAATATATTTATAGATGGGGTTGTAAAAGAAGTAAATGCTAGGGTGTTCGGGAGAGGGGTGGGATTAAATTATGGGGAATCAAATTCAAAATGGGAACTGACACAGTTACTTTTTGCTGATGATACTGTGCTTATGGGAGATTCTAAAGAAAAATTGCAAAGGTTAGTGGATGAGTTTGAAAATGTGTGTAAAGGTTGAAAGTTGAAAGTGAACATAGAAAAGAGTAAGGTGATGAGGGTATCAAATGATTTAGATAAAGAAAAATTGGATATAAAATTGGGGAGGAGTATGGAAGAAGTGAATGTTTTCAGATACTTGGGAGATGACGTGTCGGCGGATGGGTTTATGAAGGATGAGGTTAATCATAGAATTGATGAGGGAAAAAAGGTGAGTGGTGCGTTGAGGTATATGTGGAGTCAAAAAACGTTATCTATGGAGGCAAAGAAGGGAATGTATGAAAGTATAGTAGTACCAACACTTTTATATGGATGTGAAGCTTGGGTGGTAAATGCAGCAGCGAGGAGACGGTTGGAGGCAGTGGAGATGTCCTTTCTAAGGGCAATGTGTGGTGTAAATATTATGCAGAAAATTCGGAGTGTGGAAATTAGGAGAAGGTGTGGAGTTAATAAAAGCATTAATCAGAGGGCAGAAGAGGGGTTGTTGAGGTGGTTTGGTCATTTAGAGAGAATGGATCAAAGTAGAATGACATGGAAAGCATATAAATCTATAGGGAAAGGAAGGAGGGGTAGGGGTCGTCCTCGAAAGGGTTGGAAAGAGGGGGTAAAGGAGGTTTTGTGGGCAAGGGGCTTGGACTTCCAGCAAGCGTGCATGAGCGTGTTAGATAGGAGTGAATGGAGACGAATGATACTTGGGACCTGACGATCTGTTGGAGTGTGAGCAGGGTAATATTTAGTGAAGGGATTCAGGGAAACGGTTATTTTCATATAGTCGGACTTGAGTCCTGGAAATGGGAAGTACAATGCCTGCACTTTAAAGGAGGGGTTTGGGATATTGGCAGTTTGGAGGGATATGTTGTGTATCTTTATACGTATATGCTTCTAAACTGTTGTATTCTGAGCACCTCTGCAAAAACAGTGATAATGTGTGAGTGTGGTGAAAGTGTTGAATGATGATGAAAGTGTTTTCTTTTTGGGGATTTTCTTTCTTTTTTTGGGTCACCCTGCCTCGGTGGGAGACAGCCGACTTGTTGAAAAAAAAAAAAATCTTTATTTACTACAAGTACATGTACAAGGTATACAGTCCTAGCTGACAACAATGACATACTACTATATAGAAAGTCCCTTGTTATGCTCCGCATTTCGGGCAAATTAGATCAGTGTCCGAGGATGCGACCCACACCAGTCGGCTAACACCCAGGTACCCATTTTACTGATGGGGAACATAGACAACAGGTGGAAAGAAACACGTCCAATGTTTCTACTCTGGCTGGGAATCGAACCCAGGCTCTCGCCGTGTGAAGCGAGAGCGTTAACCAACAGGCCACCAGAGCCACCTGATTTGCCCAAAATGCTCTGCATAGCAAGGGACTTTCTATACAGTATGTCATTGATGTCAACTAGGTCTCTATAAGTTGTATCATGTACTTGTTGAAATAAAGATCATTATTATTACCTCTGCCTAGTGCAAAGTCAATCAGAATGTGGGCCACCAACAGCAGTAGCTTTATTGAACAGGTAATCAACAGAAAAACCTGGCTCTAGGCCAGTTTGCAAGGGTAGAAATAATTCAAAACCGGTCTCAGATCAAAGGTAACCTTACACTGCCAGAAGATTTTATAAGAATGTGTGCATTTTTTTCAACTTTTAAGAGAGAATAAAGCTTCACATTATTTAAGGTAACTGTAAAGATACTAGTATACTATTTTGACATTTTACTAATAATTCTATATTTATTTTGCATACTTTTACAGCCACCAAGAAAATCCTACAATCGTAGTTGTTTGGAAGAATGTCGACGGAAATTTATTCGTGAGTACGCAGGAGGTACCACAACAGATACTGAGGTGAGTCTTATATTAAATATACATTTGTAGAAAATATATTTATAGGCTGTGTAGGCACATGTTTTTGAATCTGTGCAATATCTGAAAAATGCATCATCTGATCAGCCTAAACTTTTACTTCTGTGTTTTTTGTCAAAAGAAACAATCTCTTGATGTTAGGAAGTATAAATTATCATGTGCCAAATTTAATATTCATATTAGTTTCTGTGAAATAATTGGGGAATGTCTCTTCTGACCACACATAAGTCCTGGCTTTGTCTCTGTTGATGTCTTCCTTTCTCATGACATTACATTGTAATATCTGAGTGCCTCTGCAAAGACAGTGATTATGTGTGAGTGATGGTGAAAGTGTTGAATGATGACAAAAGTGTTTTTTCTTTCTTTTTGGGTTTTTCTTTCTTTTTGGGTCACCCTGCCTCGGTGGGAAATGGCTGATGTGTTAAAAAAAAAAAATGTACGTATAGGGTTGATGGAAATTTGTGTTTCTCGTGAAAGAAGGATATTCTCATATTTGTGTTTATGGAGAACAAGCTTTACCTTCCAGATTTTTTTTTTTTTTCAAAATCAGTTATACAGGCTAAGAGCTTTTATTCTACCTCGACTCATTTCAAAGTCCAGCCCTATCTTAAATGTACTACCCTTTCCCCCCCACCCACACAAAATGGAACCCATAACATACAGTGGTACCTCAAGTTTCGAACAGCTCCCAACTCGAACAATTATGTAAGTGTATTTTTGTAAGTGCTTTTGTAAGTGTAATTTTGGGCTCTGAAAAGGACTAATCTGATTTGCATTATTCCTTATGGCAACAAATTCGTTCGGTAATGGCACTCAAACAGCCTTCTGGAATGAATTAAGTTCGTAACTCGAGGTACCACTATTTTTTTATATTTAACACACTGGCTGTCTCCTACCGAGGCAAGGCGACCCAAAAAAGAAACATTTTCACCATCATTCACAGTATTATATATTTTTCTCCAATGAACTGGCTGTATCACACCAAGGCAGGGTGACCTGAAAAGAAAAACGAGTTTCTTGTTTTCAATTTAGTAATGTATACAGGAGAAGGGGTTACTAGCCCCTTGCTCCTGGCATTTTATATATACACAAGTCATACCCCGCCCTACGTCATTAATTGGTCCCAAAAGCCATGATGTAACCCAGTTTTGATGTAAGCCGTATATAATGCCTTAAAATGACGAAAAACACCGAAAAACTAGCATAAATAACTCACGAAAGAATATAGCTATTGCTAAACCTTAAAGAACACTAAAAACACTAATGAACACAATTTAAAAAATTATGACGTAGGTGACGTTGCTGAGTGACATAAGTCGGATATAATGGCATTCGCTGAACTGAAATTTACTCTAGAAATGTGGCGTAAAAAGCAAATTTTATGTAGGCCAAATGCACACCTGTTAACCCTTTTGGGGCCTAGTTCCTAGGCCTTTTGTGTTTCCATATGCTCTTGTTTACCTGGAGAGAGTTCCGGGGGTCAACGCCCCCGCGGCCCGGTCTGTGACCAGGCCTCCTTGTACTACCATCCACAGGATTAATATGGGGTGCACAATAAACTAGCCACTTAGGTGGCAAAATCTAAATCTGACTTAGGCCTAAATAACATAAAGCGGAGTATGGCTGTGTGTATGTTTGTGTGGGTGGGGGGAAATTACTTCAGTACAAGGGAGCAAGGAGGTTATGACCCCTCCCTCTTTCTAAGCCCTTGAGATGAGGGGGGTCATATGAATTGATGTGCTGTTGGAGTGTGAGGAAAGTAATATTTATGAAGGGATTTAGGGAAACCTTAGCTGGACTTGAGTCATGGATGTGGGAAGTACAGAGCCTGCACTCTGAAGCAGGGATAGTGATATTTGCAGTTTTGAACTGTAGTGTTAGCGCCTCTCTCATAAGATAGTGGAGTGAGAGACGGGGAAAGTGTTTCTCACCCTACCTTGGTGAGAAATGGCTGGTGTTTTAATTTTTTTTTTCAATGAATCAGCCATATCCCACCGAGACAGGGTGACCTGAAAAAGAAAAAGTTTCACAACCATTCGCAGATGCATGTACACGACAGTTCAAATGATCCTACAAACAGCAAATATCCCCAGCCCTCCTTTAGAGTGGAGGAACTCCACTTCCCAATCCAGGACTTGAGTAAGGCTAACAGTTTTCTCTGAATCCCTTTACTGTTACACTGCTTATGCTCAACAGCTCATCAGGTCCCAAAAACCATTTGCCTTCACTCACTCCAATGTAATACACTCACATATGCCCACTGGACGTCCAAAACTCTTGCATACAATACCTCCTCTCTCTGTCCTTTCCTAGGATGACCCCTACCCTGCCTTGCAGGGTAAGAGTCGTCCTATTATGCTGCATCCTCTCTAAATGAGCCAACCACCTCCACAACCCCTCCTCAGCCCTCTGGATAATACTTTTAGTAACTCTGCACTAACTCCTAATCTCAAAACTACAAATTCTCTGCATAATATTTACATCACACATTGCCCTCAGACACATTTCCACTGCCTCCAACCTCCTTCTTATTGGAGCCACTATACTCTCATACATTCCCCTCTTTGCTTCCATGGATAACGTCTTTTGTCTCCACAGACCTGCACCACCCACCTTTTTACCTTCATCAATTCTGTGGTTTACCTCATCTCTCATAGACCCATCTGCCGACAAATCCACTCCCAAATATCTGAATGCATTCACTTCCTCCATATTCTATCCCTCCAATCTGATATCCAGTCTCTCATTACCTAGCTTGTTTGTTACCATCATCACGTTGGTCTTTCCTATGTTCATTTTCAGTTTAATTTATTTTTTTACTTTTCCTGCCATGGCTTATTATCTTAAATGACCCACATCTATAACTTTTCTTTACCCTTTAGGATGATGGAAAAGAGAGGAGCAAAAAGAAAAGGAAGAAATTCAAGGCAAAGACTTCCCTCAAAAAGAAGAAAGGAACTGCATCGTCATCCCACTCGCTAGAGGACTCTTCCCTCTCTAGTGAATCATTATCAGGAAAATCATGTAATACCTTAAAGAATAAAAGGAATAAGGTTTATGTAAGTAATGTTTCTTTTTTATATAAAATTAGTGTTAATTAAAAGAAACAAAAGTAATTTTTTTTGGCACGAATTATAATATGCCTGTAGGGAAGCCCATTTTGATATCTGCTAATGTTAACATACAATTTTATTAGATTTCCAAAATGTTTTGCAAGCATTATACAGAACCTCCTTGCTAGCTTCAGTAATACAAGGTGTTATCAAAAAAGTTCCTGTAACTGATTTTTTGCACATTTCTTTGGTGATATATGGTAGCAGTGTAGCTCATGCTGCTTAGTACACACCAGCAGAATGGATGACTTGAAGAATGCCTGTGTTTTACACCAAAACTTCCACAACCATATAATTAATTAATTACAAAGGTGCATGAGTCACTGTCAAGGAGGAAGACACACACAGATGTAGGATCTTACAATCAGCACTCATCATCACATCCAACCAGAACAACAGCTTCTACAAGATAACTAAGCCTCTTGCTAGGAAACTCCTTCATCGTTTTGTTACACAGCAACAACACTGCAGCATGTCTTGGCCCATGCTAGGCAGGTTGTTCTCAAATTCAATCTCTTCTCAGTCACATATTTTGGCCAGCCTGTCATTAGTCTACCCAAGAAATGAGCTTCAACACAATGTCACTTGACTCTTCATATCATTAGGCTCCTCTATATCCTCTCTCTCCAGGTAGATCTGTTTATGATTTGATAAAGCCCACTGTGTGGGCAAAATGTCAGTAAAGGATCACCTTATGCATATAAATTGCACTTTATACTTTAGTCTGTGTTTAACACTTAAATAGAATAATTTAAATGTTTGGATTCCAGCTTGTAGATATAGGGCAGTGTATTGATAATGCTGGAAATGTGTTAGGTTATTAAATCGTATCCATTTTTCAGTAGTTTCTTTTGAGCATAAAATTTAATGTTGATCTGTTAATGTAATTTGTATGCACTAATTTTAATTACTAAGATCAAACTGAATTCCTTCTGTCTGTCCGATCGTTTATCATTTTGTCCATTGTTTATGAAACATTTCTTGTTTGTCAGTATCCTGGTAAATCAGTTTCTCAGTGTCATATTTTTTGTTTTCCACATATTTTTCTAGAATATGAAATGATTCTTAAGCTTTTCTGATAAACATGTAACCAAGATTTGTTGACTTCCAGGAACAATCAATGAATGAATGGATAGCCAGCACCAACAGCTTTTTTGAAGAAGTGGAAAACAGTGACCTGATAATTGAAGATGATAAACAGTAAACTGAAGATTGATAAACAGTAAATGTTTATTGCTGGGGAAAATTAATATGAAAAAAATTTTACTTTGAAATTATTTCATAATCAAACGTTAGTGTAATATCATTTGCAGTAAAAATTTAAGCACACCCTGTACCTCCAGGAATGAAGGTATGGCTGATTAATAATGAGTATTGGAAAAATCATGTACAGCATTCGTACAAAATGATTATTAAAAGGGTTGAAAAATAATTTAAGTGGGCGGCCTTTGAGTTTTAGCTACGGTTACCCCAGAGAGTTTCTGAGGGTAGCAAGGCGTCTGATGCAGATTAATGCATTAATTAAAAATATGTTAATTTTTATTTGAGCATCAGTTGTACAATGCTGTACACTAGTTGATTAAAAGCATTCAGATAGCTTGGAAAATTTTATAATCTAATGAGCTGTCATTAATAAATAAATATATGTACACTATTTTTAGTGGAATTTAGTGATGGCTAATTTAACCTTAGATTGTTCCCTGTAAAACTTCATTTTTTTTTTACCATTGCATGATAATTTTATGAGAATAAAAGTATAATTTTTGTCTTTTAATATTTTTGTTTTATGTGAAGCTATATAAAAACTATGTGAAACAATGTAAAATGCAATATAGTCTAAAATGTAAACATTTAGCAGAATTCTAATAAAAATTATGTAGTTTAGGCCATTGTTTCAGTATCATTGATGTAGCTGGAAGATGTTATACAGTGGTCCCTTGAGTTAAAATGGGCTTGAGTTAGGATTTGCCCTCAAGAAGGAATCCAGGTTTGAGTTAAACTGAAAAATTTGAGATATGGGTATGATGGTTGGTGGGTGCAGGTGGGCCATGGTTCAGAAATGAGTCAGGGATCATGATGAAATGGTTTTCAATAGTGATGATGGAGGATGTTTTGGAGGTGAGAGGGGGGAGGATGGAAGGTGGAATATAAAATGATAGGCAGAGGGAGAGAGACCAGACGTGGACCATGAAAGATAGTGACAACAAAAGTGTAAATATTAAGTCTCTAAACCTAAACCAATCTGCCTACCTGCCTTGCCTCTTCCCTCTGCTCTGTCCTGCCTGCCTTGCCCTATCCTGCTACTTTGCTTGGGCATAAGATTATGAAAGATAGGCTTAATCTACTGTTGAGTACCAGTGCCTCTAAGAGATTTCAGGTTGAAGCCTATGCATGTTTACCTCTCATAAAAATCCCAGAGTGTTTAGACAAAAAGTATCCAAGGGTAGGTTGGGTGAGTTATGGCAACTTGAAATGAATTACCACAAAACCAGATATTTTAGGTTTGAGTTATGATAGTTTTAAGGTATGATACATCTGGAATGGATTAATATCGTTACTCAAGGGACCTCTGTATATTTTTTTTTTTCAACAAACCAGTCCTATCCCACCAAGGCAGGATGACCTCCAAGGAAAAACAAAAGTTTCTCTTTTTAAATTTAGTAATGTATACAGGAGAAGTGGTTACTAGTCCCTTCCTACTGGCATTTTAGTTGCCTCTTACGACACGCATGGATTAATGAAGGAAGAATTCTGTTCCACTTCCCCATGGAGAACCACTGTACAGTGGACCCCTGGTTTCGGCCGGTGTGGAAATCTTGCAATTTGGATTTTGAGCACTTTTTTCGGCGAAATTTCCCCTTGGGTTTCGTACATCCACTCGGAAATCATTGGTACCAGACGCGTGACTCACTCTTGGGTACATTAAATGTCTTATTTTAGTTTAATATAAACATTGTCACCCTGCCTCGGTGGAAGACGGCCGACTTGCTGAAAAAAAAAAAAAAAATTTCATTAATCCATCTACGAATGATATTTCCTTCAAAATTATATAAGAAGCACATTACATAGCATATAAACATGCCTTTGTTACTCGTTCACCGAGTGTCCCTCTAGTCTCAATGCCATAGGTATATTACTAATACGTAATAATAATCACTCTTGGGCACATTAAATGTCTTATTTTACATAAGTATAGAAATTTTCATTAATCCATCTATGATATTTTCTTCAAAATTATATAAGAAACATTACATAGCATATAAACATGCAATGTTTATATGCAGTGGAGGGTAAACATTACGTTTTCTCTGGTCCAGGGTTAGAGAAAACTATGAATCTGCTTTGGTCCAGTAACCGCCCTTAATACATAAGCTTTTGTTTACAATTCTCGGCATGAATTATTCATTACTTCTCCCTTTGTTTATGGTGGCATCTAAGGGTAGTTGTTAGAAATGATTAAACTCAGTGAACGTGGTATATCAATGGTAATAATATGGCTGTGGGCCGCAGTGTATGTAGCCGGTAGGTAGGGGTTGGATGAGAGTGGCCAGGATGTGGAAGAGTTGGTGGACAACCACAGGGAAAAGCTAACAAGAGTCTGTTTATTTCTCATTGTTTTCTGTATGTAAAAATGTAGTTATTTTCCATAAAATGCATTTTTTTTTTTTAATATTTTTGAGTGTTTGGAACTGACTAACTGAATTTACATTATTTCTTATGGGAAATCTTACTTTGTTTTTTGGCCATTTTGGATTTTTAGACTTGTGTATGAAAATCCCAGATCAGCCATTGCTGAGATACTCAAACTATCCTGTCTGGCATCAACAGTCATTCCAGGGTCAAAGTCACTTAGATTGCATTTCTTTCCCATTCTGATGTTTGGTCTGAACAACAACTGAACTTCTCGACCATGTCTGCACGGTATTAAGCACTGAGGTGCTGCCATATGATTAACTGATTAGATATTGTATTAATGAGCAGGTTTACCTTAGGGATGCCATAAATATATCCAATGAAAGATACGTCTGTGCAGCACTGAATGATCTGTGTTGGTTCCGAGTTTTATTTAACTAAAAATAGTAATACATAATAGTTCAATGCATTTTTGTGAATGTTTTCAGATACTTGGGAGTTGACGTGTCGGCGGATGGGTTTATGAAGGATGAGGTTAATCATAGAATTGATGAGGGAAAAAAGGTGAGTGGTGCGTTGAGGTATATGTGGAGTCAAAAAACGTTATCTATGGAGGCAAAGAAGGGAATGTATGAAAGTATAGTAGTACCAACACACTTATATGGATGTGAAGCTTGGGTGGTAAATGCAGCAGCGAGGAGACGGTTGGAGGCAGTGGAGATGTCCTGTCTAAGGGCAATGTGTGGTGTAAATATTATGCAGAAAATTCAGAGTGTGGAAATTAGGAGAAGGTGTGGAGTTAATAAAAGCATTAATCAGAGGGCAGAAGAGGGGTTGTTGAGGTGGTTTGGTCATTTAGAGAGAATGGATCAAAGTAGAATGACATGGAAAGCATATAAATCTATAGGGAAAGGAAGGAGGGGTAGGGGTCGTCCTCGAAAGGGTTGGAAAGAGGGGGTAAAGGAGGTTTTGTGGGCAAGGGGCTTGGACTTCCAGCAAGCGTGCATGAGCGTGTTAGATAGGAGTGAATGGAGACGAATGATACTTGGGACCTGACAATCTGTTGGAGTGTGAGCAGGGTAATATTTAGTGAAGGGATTCAGGGAAACCGGTTATTTTCATATAGTCGGACTTGAGTCCTGGAAATGGGAAGTACAATGCCTGCACTTTAAAGGAGGGGTTTGGGATACTGGCAGTTTGGAGGGATATGTTGTGTATCTTTATACGTATATGCTTCTAAACTGTTGTATTCTGAGCACCTCTGCAAAAACAGTGATAATGTGTGAGTGTGGTGAAAGTGTTGAATGATGATGAAAGTATTTTCTTTATGGGGATTTTCTTTCTTTTTTTTTTAGTCACCCTGCCTCGGTGGGAGACAGCCGACTTGTTGAAAAAAAAAAAAAAATCTTAGATTTATTTAATTGGTTCAGTTTCTTCCTCATGTATGTCTTAGTCTTTTTTCAAGAGTTGCACATGTGTCTAATTTATCAAGGTTTATGTTAGCTTTTTTAAAGGCACTGTATGACCCATATGGGTTTAGTGCAGCACTGTATGACCCATATGGGTTTAGTGCAGCACTGTATGACCCATATGGGTTTAGTGCAGCACTGTATGACCCATATGGGTTTAGTGCAGCACTGTATGACCCATATGGGTTTAGTGCAGCACTGTATGACCCATATGGGTTTAGTGCAGCACTGTATGGCCCATATGGGTTTAGTGCAGCACTTTGACCCATATGGGTTTAGTGCAGTACTGTATGACCCATATGGGTTTAGTTCAGCATTGTACTCACCTAGTTGTGGTTGCAGGAGTTGAGTCAAAGCTCCTGGCCCTGCCTCTTCACTGGTCACTACTGTATGACCCATATGGGTTTAGTGCAGCACTGTATGACCCATATGGGTTTAGTGCAGCACTGTATGACCCATATGGGTTTAGTGCAGCACTGTATGACCCATATGAGTTTAGTGCTCTCATGAACGTGATAATTTATAGCATTAGCAAAATGCACATACACTACCTTTTATTATATTAAGAGTAATGAATAACTAGTGGCCTAAGCGCTGTGTAATACATCTCTCCATGACTTAACCTTCTACCAGCAAATGTCCCAAGGGAAGTGGACCTATCCTCCCCTTCCTTGGATCAAACCTGATTGCCCTCCATTTGCACTGTGCTGTATGACCCCTGTGGGTTTAGCGTTTCTGCCCCTGATAATAAGCCTGAGTGTAAGGGCTTGGTCAGGCTTCCTGCCTGAGAAACAGCCTAAATAAAAAGATCATAATATTGCAAATGTTATATATATTTAATTTATGCACAAGATCATAGAACATACAGCCAACACTAATACATTCAGCCCAAACAGTAGAACATACAGCTAAAACAGTTGAACATAGCTGTGAACAGTAGAATATACAGCTAACACAGAACATAGCCATGAACAGTAGAACATACAGCTAAAACAGTAGAACATATCCGTGAACAGTAGAACATACAGCTAAAACAGTAGAACATAGCCATGAACAGTAGAATATACAGCTAACACAGTAGAACATAGTCATGAACAGTAGAACATGCAGTCATAAACAGTAGAATATACAGTCAGCCATGAACAGTAAAGTATACAACCATGAACACTAGAACATACATGAACAACAGAACATACAATGTTAAACTACATATAATATATGAGTATGTCTGATGGCGGGATATTTGAAGATTGGGCAGTAAATTAAGGTTTTTAAAACGAAGCTCAAGACGTATAGCAAGTGACGTATTTGAGACCAACAATATAGAAAAATCATCTTTACAATCTTTTAGATCGGCGCTAAAGTTTAAATAAAAAGGGGATAGAAAATAAAAAAAAATAAAAATCGTCACTGCTAGTGAATCTGGCTACTAAGCTGTCACCTGTTTATCTTTCTTATAATATAATAATAATCTAGTCATACATCATGTAGCATGTTGTACTGTAGTCATACATCATGTAGCATGTTGTACTGTAGTCATGCATCATGTAGCATGTTGTACTGTAGTCATACATCATGTAGTGTGTTGTACTGTAGTCAACATCATGTAGGTGTTGTACTGTATCTACATCTTACTTGTTTGTACTGTAGTTAATTTGTGCTGTTGTACTGTGTCATCTCATGTAGCTGTTGTAGTAGTCATAATCAGTAGTGTTGTATGATAGTCATGTAGTGTTGTATGTAGTCAATCTGTAGCTGTTGTACTGTAGTC